TCTTTCCCCTCTAACTTCATCTTCTGTTGGGCCACCACCACTCTTCTTCTCCTTCACAACACAAACCCTCCTTCGTTACCAGAAGGTTTCGCCACTCGAAATCCATCACTACTAGGTTTCGTTTGTTTTTTTCTTACCGTATCTTTGAGCCTCTCTTGCTGTATCAGCTCTCTCACCGGTCTATACGCAGCTGTCGTGCATAGATTCTGGTTTTCAACCAACATTCAAAACCCGGTTATCCCAGTTCCCACTAGTTTAATAAACTCTACCATGGCGAAACCCAATATGGTTTCAAAAGATCCAACCTTTAGGTCACTTCCCGTATACCCTTCAGTCATCATCGCCAATTCCTTGAAATCTAACCCTTCTTCCGCCTTTTCTTTCGCCAAAAGCGTCCTCAGAATCTTCTCTCTGTTCTCCACAGAGGGTAATCCCACCATTATCCTACGCAAAAAAACCCATAAAAACATTCATCAGAACGTTACCGATTCGATTCGGACCAAGAGCATGATGGGGTTATAGGGTACCTCCGTTCGAACCGCCGGATGATAGCTTCGTCGAGATCAAAGGGCCGATTCGTGGCGGCAAGAACGAGTATCCGCTCGCCGGGCTTGGTCATGAGCCCGTCCCAGTGAGCCATGAACTCGTTCTTGATCTTCCTCATCGCCTCATGCTCTCCAACACGTGTCCTCTGCCCCAACATGCTGTCGACCTCGTCCACGAATATGATCGTGGGCGAGACCTTAGCCGCCAGCGTGAACAAAGCCCTGACGTTCTTCTCATCCTCTCCGAACCACTTTGAAGTTATGGTCGACATCGAGACGTTGATGAAACTCGCACCGGCTTCCTTGGCTATGGCCTTTGCCAGCATGGTCTTGCCAGTGCCGGGCGGCCCGAAGAGTAAGATCCCTCGGCATGGTTTGAGGAGACCTCCACCTTTGAAGAGGTCGGGACGGCGGAGAGGAAGCATCACGAGCTCTTGCAGCGACTCTTTGATGTCGTCCAATGCCCCTATGTCGTTGAATGTCACGTTGATCTCGTCCGCGGGAATCACTTCCGGCCTTATCCGTTTCTCGAACTCGTTGTCCAGAGGAATTTCCTGTTTTGAGACGTTAGAATCACGGCATGAATCCCGAATAAAAGAATATGAGAAACGACGCTCACCGGAGCTTTTGGAGCTGGGCTTGCGGGTTTTGGTGGAGAACCCGATTTCTCCGACTCATTCTTGCTGCCTTCAGTGTTTCCGCTGTCGGGTTTTGATTCAGCTTTCAAATCCTTCTGAAACATCCAATAAAAGAGCAGCAAAACTATTCAGATATGTCGATTGATTGTTACTCCTTGCTTAGTTCTATGTTTTCAGCTCTTCACAGATAGCTAGGTACCTTAGGTTCATCTTCTCGAGTTTTTCCCGACTTACGCTTCTCCTGACCACCCGATTTTCCTTCTTTGAAGAGGCTGAATCCGTGCGATAAACTGTAAATCCGCAAGAAAGAACACCATTGCGAGATTATCCTCAGATTATAAAAGTTTTAAGACATGTTATATGAGTTAGAATTCGTCCAAAAAAATCGTTTTTACCTCTTAGAAGATATCACGAGCTTTCCATTCCGATACTCTGGATCTTTGTTGTTCATCAGATGATATGAGATGGCCGAGACAACGATCTCTTCGATGTAATTACTCAAGAGCTTCGTGTCTTCGAGTAGGATCGATTCGAGATCGTCGCACACCACATCGTTCTCGGACAAAACCTCTATAATGTGGTTCCTATTGTCCTGAGCTTGGATCATCTTCATGTCCTGTTCCAACTGCGACTTCCAGCTCACTAGATGGTTCTCGTCCTCGGGTGGTTGGATCTCGATATTGTACGTGAAAACTGCAGAAAGCTTTTCATCAATCTCTCGACCCTCGTCGCCATCGTTAGATAAGTTTACGATTCTTGAACCGAGGATGAGAACAGGTCCAGACAGTTTCTTGATCAGTTTCTGAAACAAGATGTAGATTCTCTGGGATCGGAACAGAAGATGATCGATGTCTCGAAGGTATACAACGATCGGAGTGGTTTTAGAGACATATGCCAAGACCTGCGTTCCCCCAAGATTACGATTTATCAGTTGACTATCTCGAGAAATTGCGGAACGAAAACAAGATCGATGTGTATATACACATACACACCTTATACAAAGATTGGATGAAGAGCTTTTCGTCAAAGGACCAACTACTCGTTCGTTTCAGAGACGCTGAAAACAGATCAAAAGATCGTAAAACAGTTTTTTTTTTCAGACATACGAAAGTTCATCTCGAAAAGTAGCGATCAATCATGACGAACCTGGATTTGAAGATAAGAGTTTGCTCATACCCGCTGCTTCGGAGGCGTTCCTTCGTAGCTTTGGAGGATTGCCAGATCCTTCCATGCCGCCGCTGCAGCTAAAAGCATAAACTCCGTATAAAAAACAGCGATGCATTAAGATTTGAACCCGAAAAACGAATTTATCGCCGCGTTCAAATGTAAGCACGGATTACCTCGATCTGATATCTACACCACTGCTCTGCCTCCTCAAGGTACCTGCACGAATAAACGATCTTACAGAATGTATCGTACTAAACAGCGTCGGTTACTATGAATCAATGCACGAATTCCGTATCATCTCGCTCCGATTCTGTAACACAGTCGTGTTTTTAATTGAAAATGGGAAGAAACCTTCAGTACCTTTAGGCTCTTCCCTCTGCGAAAGGAGCGAGAACGACGATAAATATCCAGAAAGCTTCTCGAGAGCTGATTCCGAGGGCGATCTGTGGAGCAACTATAAACACGAAAAGATTCAATCAAGATAAGGTCATCACCATAGATCGGGAAAAAAAGCAAATGATTTCTTGGGAAAGAACACTTACAGATGAATCTTGGCTCATACCGCCGTATTTGCTCTGTATCTGTTGCAATGATAATAATAAAAAGAGGACAGAATCTAAGCTTTCAGACACGAAGCAACAGAACATACAGACAGTGTTTAAGGATCGTAAAGTCGAGACCTTGAGGGCGAAATCGGTTACGTCTAGAAGAAGTAACTTGGCTTCGAAGAAATGCGCCAAGGCTTTCGCTAGCATTTGCTGGTAAAGCTCTTCAGATACAGCAGGAACCAAAAAAACCCTAATCAGAATGGGAATTTAGGGATTGAATTTTGAAAAAAAAAACATTTTTTTTGGTATAGGAGACCTGCGGGACCAGAGAGGAGAATGGCCCTGCTGGCGGGAGAGAGGTTTCTGGTGTATCTAGAAGCTTCCGAGTGTTTCAGATGGACGTATGCTGCGCTCGTCAGAAGCACCCTTGTCTGCTCACTTCTCATCCAACCAAAAAATAAAAATATTTATTATTTTTATTATATAAATACATATTTCAGACATCGAGGGAATGAATCCAAAGACACAGGAGATAGACATCAAAGAGATTACGGTCATATACACGTGACAGAATCAGAGACCGTGTGAGATCATCTTTGTCCGTAAACATTAAAAGTCGAAGGCTTCAACTACGAGGAGTCCATCAAGAATCTTATCCATATATGTATATATCCTTGCAAAAGAGTTAAAACAGTAAAAGCTCTTTACTGTTTTACCTGAGATAATACGGGAACTCGTCGAAAGTGACTTCGCACTCTCTTCCGTCAACTACCTGACGGAGCATTTCCTTCTCCATCTTCTCCGCCGTGACGCCGTTAGTTGACGGCGTGTTGCTTCCGGCCCATTTTCCCACCGTCTGACCAGACGCCAGCCCCAAACCCACCCCGACTCCAACTCCGACACCCAACGCCGACAACAACATCTGTTTACTGTCCATTTCGATCACTCAAACACTTCACACAAAACAAAGGTGTTTTCTTTCCTTTTCTACTGCCTTTTTTTTTTTTTCTCGAGAACCAAACAGAAAGTACTGACTTCGGTCTCGCAGCACTTCCTTCTCCTCTTTTCCCTTAAACAAAGAAGCACAGTGTTTTTTTTCCTGCAGTTTTCCTTTTTTTCCTCGGATGAAATGAGAAAACCCAAAAAAAGAAAAGAGAAAACTTTTCAGACTCAAGGTCAAAGGAGATCGAGAAACACTTCGATGTCTGCGGATTTTTCTCAACCGCTTCTCATCTTCGAAATTACAGAGGCAACCGCAAGAACCAGAACTACTGACACGTCAGCACCGACGGCGAGACACGGAGGCAACGGCGGAGAGAAGACTAGGTTTTTGGGATTTCCATCTCCGAGCTCCAGTTTATATATAGATACATATATACAAGATACGTACACATACGCATAGATCGATGAGTCATCGTGGAGGTTTAGCTTACGTGTCATTGGATGAACGGTTAGAGAGTTCGGTTTGGCAGTTTTTAATTGGACTGTGCCGCTTTTCACTTTATACCCTTCAATTATTTCAATGCTTTAGTTCATTCCTAATAGTTATTTTACATTTTAGTCCATGTTGTGCAGTATTTTATTAAAAATTACATTTAGTTCAAAACGTCAGGATGGCCGAGTGGTCTAAGGCGCCAGACTCAAGTTCTGGTCCTCGGTAGAGGGCGTGGGTTCAAATCCCACTTCTGACATTTTTCCCAGAGCATTATTTTTTTTCCTTTTTTTTAATGTCTTTTTAGTTTTGGACATACTCCAATATTAATTACACCACACAATTATTGATTCACAAGGAGTTTCCGAATTTTAATTTTTTTTCCTTACCACACGTGAATTATAAATTTGTATTCGTAAAAAAAATAATAGACTTTCCTTAACAATCATAACATATAAATATTTTTTTTATATATCTTTTCTTTTTCCCCCTTTTTTTTTTTTACATTTGAACTGTCTAATTCAATTTAAACTAAAATAATGAGACAATCAATTACAAAAAAAAAAAACAAAAACAAAGAAGCAACACCTAGCATGAAGAAATATATAATCAAATCATGACCACCATGAAATTTGTTGGGGGATCAACGCATGAGCTCCAAGAAGACAAAACCGTTCCACAAGCTGTGCAAAAGCATCGAAGGTAACAAGTTTCTGGACCTCGCGAATATAAGACCCATCACCACACCCAGAAACACCAGCGGCAGCAAACGCTGAACGTTGAAATGCGCCAACGCAAACGCAAACGCACTCACCAAGATCGCGCACCACACTGGCATGTACTTTGTCAGCGATGGCAACAGAAACCCTCTGAACACTATCTCCTCCCAGACCGGAGCACACACCGATACCACCACTGCATACAGAGCCATCGCCACCGGGTCCCGAGCCATGATCGACTGCTCCACGCTGGATAACGTCACGGGGCTAGACGGGGCCGGGAGGGGCAACAGGTTTAGGTTGAACTGCGAGATACGGTTGACGAGTGGGAACATGAAACAACCTAGGATGATGTCCAGCTGCCAGTTTCCCTTGAGGGTGAACCTGAACCAGTCCTGTGGGAGGGGACGGAACGGGGAGAGGCAACGGTGGAGGATAGCGATTCCAGCCAAGCCCTCTGTCACGTCAGTTATGAGGCTGAATAAGGCTTGCCCTCTAAATGTTAGGGAATCCTTGTGGAAACCCGATACATGGGCTGCAAACGGGATCATCCATGACCCAATAAACCAAAATGCAGCTACCCATAGAAGCATCACCTGCAAGATTTAAATGTACAGAGTAAGTGATAGAAGAGATGGATCAAACCTAATAAACCCATATATCTTATCAATATAGGTTCTTCAGTGTTCATTTTTTAATAAGTAATAAGCTATACTCCAGTTTTTAAAATCAATTCGAAGAAATTCTGCATCTAGTTCGTATCCAAAGGTCTCTACTTTGGAAGACTCTTATCTCGTTAATATAAGTTTAAGGATATATAGTTCATTATCAAAGTGTATACACTATGTGCAGCCATTATCTCATCAGCACAGCTTCTAAATCAGTATGTAACATGTGACCAAAGATATCTACTCCAAAAAGAACCACAATGGTTATGTAATAGTGTTCCAATACAGTACATAGGATGTCTCCAACAACTAGTAGCTAGTTTGTACATCTATGTCTATATCTTGCCAAAACTTCCTGTAGAATTTGTGGGTGTTTGGAAGTATGATGTCTCGTGTAAAAAGTTTGGACTTTGAAGTGGCGTTGCAGAAGCGACAATAGTAAGGATAAGATAGATTGGTTACCTGTGCGATTGTCTCAGCAGTCCATGGTACTGTCCAACGGCTACCAATGGCCTTCAACACTGCATCTGCAGCCTGAAACGCAATAACACAAAGTGCTTGTCAAAACTCAATGTCATGTTCCAACAGTGAATCTTGTTAAGCCTTTGGAAACCTTACCTTTTGAAGAGTTGTCTTCAAATCTCTACTACTACTGGTGCATGGATGATCTTGACCTGGCTTCACTAATTCCTCTGGCACAAAATGCTCCAGCTCAGAATTCTCGGGAGCACCATCCTCATTTCTGAAGCACACAATCTTCCATTTCTGCAGAAAACAGCACCTGGATTTGTTATATCGAAGACAATAGATCGATTCTTTATCTTCAAAGCAGAATTGGAGGCTAAGATATATTATGCTAATTTATGACAGACTCTCAGGATACAAAGTCTTTGAAGATTTTGTAAGATACTCAGACAAGTATCAGATAAGTATAATCACTATTGGAGGTCTTTCGGTTCCTTGAAATTATCCACAACCACTTTCCAGTAGAATCCTGCCTCGGGTCCTATTAAATTGTTGCTAGCAACAGTAAAGAACTACCAAGGCACATACATGAAAACAGGCCTTAAGTCAATCGTCTACAAAATTGCCTTTTATATGGTGCCATGCTGAGAAACTGCCATTTAAATGTATACTCTCACATTCACCAAAGTTCTTACGAGTTCTATCTAACCTCTAAATCCCCAAAGACACCTAATTTTCTGACCAGTTTTCTCGGCATCCAAGCAAAACCCACAGGTACATTGCCATTGTGTTGTAAGACTGATCCAAGCATAGCCCCAAGAGTAAAAAAAAAACCCCTTAAATATCCGATGCCAAATGCATTTTTCTCGGCATCTAAGCACACCCAGAAACTCCTAGAAGTCCATCATTTTCCACCAAGATTCTGATATTTTCTCAGCCCCCAAAACAAAACCCAGGAGTTCAGAATGAAAGGCTTGAATAACCAGCAAGACGAAACAATACACAACGACGACGAGAGAGGGCAAAAAATGGATACTCACGTGCTTTGCGGACCTAAAACTCGAAGCAGAGATTGGGGAAGTCCGTGTCAAAGCAGAAGCGAACCCAGTTCTTCGACCCGGAACCCTAAATTTAGCGCGCGAAGCAGAGAGAGAGGGTCGGTGCCACAGGAGAGACGAGGAAGAGCAAGGAGCGCTCGACATGGGGAACCCAATTCAAAAATCGGGCAGAGATTCGGGTCAGTTCAGGGTGTGAAACTCCTCGGGAAAGAGAAAGCAGAAATCCCACCGGTTATTCGCATCGAGACGAGATTTGAGAATCCGAGAGGATTCGGGATTTAGTCGGAATCGAATGAAACACCAAACGAAGGAGAAGGAGAAAGGGAAAGAAGAAACCCTAATCCATGGAGAGTCAAAGAGAGACGGAGACTACAAGAGAAAGGGAAGAAGATTGATTGGGGAAATTGGGGGGTTATGGGTTGGGGACTGGAGGTTTCGCGGAACCAAGCTTGTCGACCAGACGAGGACTTACAGAAATTTGGAAAATCACCCAATTTTTTTTTAAAAAAAAGAAAAGAAAATGTTATTACATCTCAAATTCGAACCTGGATGGTTGTACAGAGACAATATCTACACAGCTTCAGACCATAGCTTACTTTTTTTTTCCATCTAATTCTTCTAAAATATATTTCCTCCTTAATATTTTTTTTTTCATTATTAATTTTGATGTACTGATACTATATTAATAATCAATTATTATCCGTGAGGAAAATATGAGATTAAGGGTAGTTGCGGTCGAGGAACGCTCGTAACAGAGTGGCAAACGAGAATACTCGTTATTCAGTTCTCAAGATTCGATTTATTTCCGTACAAAAAAAACAACAACTATAGTTCTTTCAATAATTCTTCAGCGTGTCGTTGGTTAAAATTTTAAATATATCCCTTAAACTTTAATATATTATAATAATAATAATATATCAAGTAATATCGTTCAAAGAGAGGAAATTAAAAAAACACAGTTTGTTGTGTTGTCTGGGCAAAGTTGCGTCTTTTTTATCAAAGATTTGGGGAATTAAGAATCGAAGCATATAAAAGGGGGATTCCTTTGTTTGAGCATACAAAACATATGTAATGTAATGCGATGATTACCAATGCATTATATTATATGCATAGATAGACAGAAATCTACTGATAGCCGAATTATTATTATGGAAATTCGAAGAATAATACCTGAATTTATCAAATTTACTAAAATAAAACTTGAACTAATTTTTTTAACCAAATAAATTCAGAACTCTAAATCGATGCATAAATAAATTCGAATTTTTTAAAATCATGTAATATTTAACCATCAATTTTGATGCGTCGTTTTTTATTTTGACTAAACATTGTCAAGTCATCTACCATATATTTATACATGTAAATATTGTTTTAATCAAAACCAAAATTAACCTGTTATCGTTCGTAATGCCATGTCAGTGTTTAGGATTAAATATCATATAGTTTTGAAAGTTCGAGTTTATTCATGTACCAACATTAGGGTTTGAGATGGTTTATTTGACCAAAAATAATACTTCAGATTTTATTTTAGCATATTTGACAAATTCATGTATTATTCTTTTAAGTCTTTAATTTATTATTATTATTAAGTCAGACCACATCAAAGGTCCGACGACTGAATGAGAGACAGACACATGGACTGTTGCGGGCAAAAAGAAGGGAGAGTGAAATAGCAACCACACAACACAACACAACCTCTCCCATATAGAATATATATATATATATATATATATATATATATATATTAGTAGTGATTTGATGATATGATAGCAAGACAACATGAAAACGAACATGGTTCTTTACAACAAAAGAATCTGAACATAAATGTCCTGTCCTGTCCCTCATAAAATCAACCGAATAGCGAGAAATGCCTTATTCGGTTCTTTTAGATTCTTAAATTCTCCGAAAATGGAGAATTCTGCCCTTTTTTTAAAAAAAAAATTCTCTTAATCACCCTTTTTTCTCTCTCTTTGAACGCATTATCGCATGCATATATATTATCATCCTGTTCCGATTCAAGAACTACTACTACTACTACTACTCCGTATATATAGAGTATAATACCCTTCTATACATACATATATATGTGTCTATACTAGTAGTATAGCACACACCCTTTCTTTGCCCTATTTCACTGAGCTATACCACGTCTTCTTCCCAAAACTAGAGCAAAAGGATTCGCTACAAACCTGGCAAAGGGGCAATGATTTCGGAGAAGGAATCACTTGAGATTGATATTCAAGATCGCGGGGGTACCTGTAAATCAAGAAACGAGAAGATGTCGGTTGATGAAGAAGGGTATTTGAATTGGGTTTGGAGGATTGCATGGGATTTAACAGATGAGGACAGTAAAAATGGAGTGAAGTTCTCACTCAAAGTGGGTCTGGCTGTTCTTCTGGTGTCTATACTTGTTCTCATAAGAGCACCTTCTGATGTCTTCGGGACAAACATTGTCTGGTCCATCCTCACAGTCGCTGTCATGTTCGAGTATACAGTCGGTATGTGGCCGCATACATGGTTTTTCATGTGTGTGCTTGTTCATGTTTTTTTTTTTCATGCAACCGAGATTACGTACCCCTAATATGCAATGCAAGAGTGTACCTCAAAATCTTTTTGAATGATGAAGGTGCAACATTCAAGCGGGGATTCAACAGGGCACTTGGGAGTTTGCTTGCCGGGATTTTAGCCATTGGGGTCGGCCAGCTAGCTCTGCGGGCAGGCCGCAATGTCGAGCCTGTTCTGATCGGTGTCAGCATCTTCCTGATCGGTACACATACAAGTTTTTTTTTTTTGGTTCTAATAACTGAAATGGTTAAAAAAGGAGAGGTCTCTTCAATCGGTACACATACCTAATAAGAGAGGTCTGTGTTTGGTGCCGCAGGGGTTATCACGTCGTTTATGAAATTATGGCCGTCAATGGAGCCATACGAACACGGATTGAGAGTTGTGCTCTTCACTTATTGTGTGATTGTAGTTTCCGGGTACCGAATGGGGAACCCCATCCAGACTGCCATGGAAAGGCTTTACTCTATAGCGATAGGAGGGATCGTGGCCAGTCTGGTGAATGTGCTCGTCTTTCCTACATGGGCGGGCCAGCAACTTCACATGGAACTCGTAGATGGCTTTAATGCAGTCGCCGACTCCCTGGAAGGTTAGAGAAAATTTGTACTAAGACCTTTAAAGAAAGATTTCTTATCACAACAATAGTAAATGTAATATCTAATGGTGAATAACAGAATGTGTGAAGAAGTATCTGGAAGATGAGGAGATAGATCTTGCAGAGCTCTGCAAAGTGGTGAGTGAAGAGTTTCCTGATGAGATGGCGGCTTACCAGAAATGCAAAGCAACATTGAGCTCTTCCGCGAAGCTACAATCTCTGGTACTTTAAAAAAAATTAGCAATGTTCGATGATTGAAAACTCTTGTGATGGATTTAGAATAGATTCTAAGTGTTTTTACCCTCTGAGAAAAGGCCGATGCTGCAAAATGGGAGCCACCTCATGACAGATTCAAGAACTACTTCCATCCATGGTCAGATTACATCAAAGTCGGTGCAGTTCTTAGGCACTCTGCCTACGGAGTTATGGCTCTTCATTGTGTTCTGAATTCGGAGATTCAGGTAAACAAGTCATGGAACTGATGCATATAAAGACGCTAACATTGAATTCAGACAAAAGATAATTGTGTTACGCTTTTGTCTTTTGACACTCATCAGGCACCACATGCACGCCGGATAACATTCAAGTCGGAGATGAGAGAAGCGACAAGCCATGCCACGGAACTACTCCGAACCCTAGCCAATGATATAAACAACATGAAAACAGGGGATAAGACCTCGCTTCTTAAGAGTAGCGACGGTTCCATGGAAAGACTGCAAACTGCCATAAACATCCACTGGCAAACCCTAATGGCTCAACCTTTAGATAACTCTTCCTGGCCAGTGACAAAACAGAGTAACAAATCGAGAGAAATGGAAACGAGTAAAACCCCGAAAGGCACAGAGACATACCATGAGATGATGAGGAAGAACCCGAGGAGGCTGAGGATCAAAGAGTGTGAAAGAATAGGATCACTGTCGGTCACTAGCTTCGTCACTTTGCTTCTCGAGTTGATAGCTCGGCTTGACCATTTGGTCGATGCGGTTGATGAGCTCTCAATATCTGCTAAGTTCAATCAAGAGGCTGCATGGTAATGAAGGCATCTCATCTTGTACCTCCATTTGCATACAACAGTTGAAGCTGTAATGCTTGCTTTGTTTAATAACATCATACAAATATTCTCATCATGCATGTCAAGCAATAAGAATACACAGAACTTACAAAAAAATTTACAAACAGCAGAGCGAGTAACATTGCAATAGAGGCTTATTATTATCAGAATGTTTGACAAACCAACCGACACAGGTGGGCAACCTCTATTCACAAATCACATTAGACCTGCTGAATATAAATATGTACAGGAAATAAGGCAAAAGACAAGACCCGACCTCATTCGACTTGACCCGACCCGACCTGACCCGACCTAACTAGACTGACCCCTAACTGACTTTCCAAATTCCCACCTGGTCATTACAACATAACGTGACGGCTCACCACATGAGAGAGGAACGTCCCTTCATGTGTGAGAATACAATGCAGGCATATAAGAAGACATGAAAACAGAGCACACCGGCTTAGCAAATACATGAGAACTTACATCCACCTCTGAGGCACCACCAGGGCGCTGCCAGGTTCAGATGGATCACAGGTGAAAAGACTTAAAGCTACTGCCTGAACCGAAGGAAGAGCCACTTGCCAACATTGCCATCAAGCTTCCACCATGGACTCTACCTTCTGGAACAGCCGCTGATGTCGATGAACTCCCCGCTTTACCAGCATCAGGGAGAGCTTCATAATCCCCGAGAATATTGATACAAGGCTTGCACCCTGGAGATCTGACAGCTGTCCCCATTTTCAGAACATCAATATTCATGTCTTGAGAAACAGAAAATTCCTCAGTGGTCTCAGTTTCACTGAGCTTCGGGTCTTGAATCACGGAACTTAAACTAATGCCTCCATGGACCCGCTTATCATCCACCAGACTGCTATGGAGTGCACAAAGACCAGTCTTACCTCGAGCAAAGGAGCAACAAGGACCAGAGGACTGGTTGGCATACTCAGTCCCGGGATGCCCCCATGCACACCTTTTGCCTCCTCCATGTGCCTTGCAAAAGTCGGTACTGCCTTGGGCACTTTTGCCACATCCTTCAAACTTGCATCTCTTCCCTCCACCATGTCGGACACAGAAATCAGTCCTTCCCCTTGCACTCTTTGTGCATCCAGGCACAGCACATCTCTTACCACCGCCATGTGCCACACAGAAGTTTGTCCCTCCATGGACACTCTTAGAGCAGACACCATCTCCTCCTTGGAAAGCACACCTTTTTCCTCCTCCATGTCCTTTGCAGAAGGGCGTGCTGCCTTCAGCACCCTTGGAGCAACCTGGGTATGTGCACCGTTTTCCACCACCATGTGCCTTGCAGAACATTGTGCTCCCTTGTGCCCCCTTGGTGCATTCAATAAACTGGCAACGTCGACCACCCCCATGAGAGATGCAAAGTCCTGAAAGGCCTTCGGCACTCTTAGTGCAGTTTTCTCTTTGACATCTCTTTCCTCCACCATGCCTGATGCATAGTCCAGATTTTCCCCGGGCAGCCCGTGAACAACCCTCATGGTTGCATCTTCGGCCACCTCCATGTGCTATACAGAAATCGGTACGGCCCTCTGCACTCTTTGTGCACCCAAGGAATTCACACCGGCGGCCACCTCCATGGGCCTTGCAGTACACGGTTCGGCCTTCGGCTCCCTTGTGGCAACCGGGCTTTTGGCACCTGCGTCCGCCACCATGGGAAATGCAGCGACCAGATGCACCTCTGGCTCCCTTTTGACATCCTTCAACTTGACATAACTTGGAACTAGAACCCCTATGCTGTGGCTTCTGTTGCGGTGCTATCTCGGAAGTACAGGTAACTGAGCTTTTTGGTGTTGCTGCCAAGCCAGATGACATGTCCAGAACGTTAGCAGGATTGTTGTTCTTCTGGACGTGAGTGAAAAAGGAATTTGCTTCTCCAGTTGAGGTCTGCAAGGTAGGTAACACAGCCCCTGTTGTCTGATCAAATGATGTGGGTCCTTCATCCATTGTAGGGAGAAAGCTTCCAGACATATGGAAATGACTCACTGGCTGATGAGTAGAAGTTACAACAGATTCACAGGATCCAACAAAAGAGAGGCTCAACTCAAGATCAACTCTTGGGAGCAATTGCAACCCTTTCACATTTGACTTAGCCGGCTTGTTGGTATTGGCTGTTTTCTCATTGCCAAGATGGAGGCTAAAATCCAATTCAATATCCATTGAGGACTCATCTTCAGTTTCTTTGGCAGAGGATATAGCTGTACAAGCAGTTGCAGAACTTCCACCCTTGCTATCGGAAGAGCTTGACGAGTGACCAAGCCTGAGAGACAGTGATGGATCAACTTCCAGACCCATAGATCCATCCATCAGAGTCCATTTCCTTTTGACTCCCTTGCCAGATGCATAAGACATAGGAGAGGCAAAAGAATCAAGTCGCAGAATAGTATCTGCCCCGCACTCTGCCTTTTCTGCTCCAGCTTGCAGCGAGCGTCCCAAGATCTTGAATGAGTTTGAAGAATTATTACCAGCAAAATCAACGTTCTGGAATCTGGCATGCATGGCCACAACCAAAAGGAAAATGTGTTTGGAACACCAAATCTACAACACAAACGAACAGCCAACCTGACTTCCGAATTCAAAGAACAAGCCACAGCTCTAAGAGTTAAAAATCCTTGTATGCATCTCCACCCCCGCTCACAAATCCCGAGGTATCACACCGATCCATTTCAAGAATAGAAATTTAATCCAGCAGCAGCTACTAAATAGGTTGTCCTAAAAGCTCGCAGCTCCAAGAAGAATCCCCACCTTCACAACAATATTATAGCAGCCAATCATCCTGCTTCAGATCAAATCACAAGAAAAGAAGACAATTGAGTACCAAGTTAGTTGCATCTTGAGTACACACATAGGTCTTCATTTCAGTAGAAAAATAAATAACAAAAGTGCATGAATAGCATTTAAAATACCGCAGAACCACCAATCTAACAGAACACAAACTCGAATCATTTAACACAATACCAACCACGGGAAAGCAAGAAACTTTTTGGCATGACAAAACAAGCTGCGCTAAAAAATGAGGAGAAAAAAGGGAAGCAGAAACCATTCATGCCAGATCTGGACAAAAAGTAAAACCGGTTCAGTAACAAGATTTAACACTTCAAGGCCAGCCTAAAAATTGACAACAAAAAGGACACAAATCCTACAACAACAAAAATCTAGTCTTCCAAAGGATAGATCTGCTCCTGAATCTAAAAAAACCAGCTTAGGCCTAAAATGTTTTCTCAGTTCGATCAACTTCAACGTTTTCAAAACAAGATCCGTCAGCACGTAAAAATTCATCGGAACACAATAAACCTTGGGAAGCTGAAATCCCCGAAAGCCAGAGAAAATACGCTCCGGTTGATCTAACCCACATGAATTCCAACAATTTCATAAACGCAAGGGTAAAGAAAACCGCAGACAAAGAGAATTCGCCATTTTCCCGCACTTTCTCGGCAAACGAACAGACCCCGAACTCAAACTCAATTTCTCGACACAAACGAGGAGAATTATCAGTTTTGTCGCACTTTCTCCGCAGACAAGCCGCCTTCCACCCCCACACACACAAAAAAACAAATCCACCGAAACAATAGCAAAAAACCCGATGCGAAAAGACGATGAAAACCAACAAACGATAAGCTAATTTTCCACAAAAGGAATTACCTAAACGACGGATCGAATTCTACAAAATTTCACAACATCAACAGATGATCGAGTCGCGATCCTCCCTCCTCCAAACCACACCGCAGTCTTTTCGACGATTTTTTTTGTTTTGAAGATTTTTTCTCTGAATTTCTAGGGATTTACAGCGCCGGCAAGAGGGCTAAAAGGGGGCATAAATAGGAGGCGGAGATGTGAGAGAGAGAGAGAGAGAGAGGGTTTAACAAAAGGAAAGGAGTGGAGAACGTCGAAAGGAACACAAAAACGGGTTAAGATAGATGGCGCACGTGTCAACCGAATCTTCGGCACGTGCCAACTGTTTCTTTTTTTTTTGTGTGCGTGTTTTGTACTAAAGAACAGCAAAATCTAAATAAATAAATGTGTGTATATATATAACGCAAAAAATCAATGATGAAAACTTAATTGCCTGTCAAAAACATGACATTTGTTGTGTCCTCCACTTGCTCCCGATCTTCCTCGTTCTTAACGGTAACAGTCTCGCATATATGGTACATAATTTAAAATATTTAATTTTCTATAATTACTGAATTGAATAAAATGATATAATTATTTTCTCGGAATAGTATATGAACTACAGTTTTCAAGGTATACGTACTAATTAACAAATATTACCACCAATAGTGGTCAAGAGCCACAAAGAGGTTGGAAGAAAAATTTCAATTTGTTCTCTTTTTTTAATTTGTAAATGAATTATAGGTGGCGTGATCCTAATTTTGGTTAAATCTAAAAATAAAATAAAATAAAGGTGTTGGGAGTAAAATAAGAAAAAGGGTGGGGAGAAACGACGTCGTAAAGGGGCAAAACAGCGGCGGCAAGCGTCAGCGCAACGTGAACGCGGTGTGAGCCGCAGCAGCAGCGCCTCGTCACCGCTTCTAAAATAAGTAATGGGCCCCACAGAATTGTGGGCCCCACTGAAGTCGGAAGCCAAAGTCGCTGTTTGCGTTTCGGATTTTTTTAATGGTAAAATTCGTTGTAAATTAGTGAAAAACTAAATTCTAAATTTTTCATTTGATAAAATAATTTTGAAATTTACAAAATATGTTACTATAATTTGTAAATTTTTAAATATATTATTATAATTTTCAAACGAATTTGTAGATCAAAGTTGTCAAAAACTTTTTTTTATACTAATTAACAAGTTGAAGAATTATAATAACATATTTTGTAAGTTTGAAATAAATTTTTCATCAGAAAAATTTAAGAATTAATTTTCTGTATTACAAATTTAGAAATTTTAATGGGTTTTAAATTTTTTTAATCCAAAACAATATCTATTAATTGTAACTAGGTATATACTTTTCACACATATTCCCAATTTACAAATATGTTTATGGCATTGATTTCATTAAGGTCCACGTAAGATGAAAAGAGTGGTTGATATGCAGAATCTAAAGGTTTTATCACTGTTTTATGGTCAAACAAAATATTATTTGATTACTACGGCTGAGAGACTTTAGACTTAATTCTCCTCTCAAAAGCTACGTTTACTATGAAAACTCTATGGTGCGTGTGCATATTATTTAAATATATATATATATATATATATATATATATATATATATTTCATAACACCATAAGTATAATCGTGAATTTTCGTTACTTACGAATCCGTAAATAAATCGTTAATTTTCCTCGAAGCATCCTTTTTGTTAATAAAAAAAGATCAGAAACCATAAATGAATATCCATAATAAACAATTGCCCTCTTGTTCATGCTCCTCCTCCTCTCTTTGGCGCTTTTATCATAAACTGCCATCTCCTTTCCTAAAATTAATATTTTATTGTACGGGAAAATGTCACCTTTTTTTTTGTTTGCATTTGTTTATTTCCCAAACACAATTATACCTTTACGAGAGGAATAAAAGAATATGCCCTTTGGCATCGGCTTCCTCTCTTTCTTATTTAAATAGTACACAAAGTGGTAAGCCATGTTACGCGATATCAGATTCACGACAGCAGAGGGAATTAGATTTTAGAACCATCCATCATAAATTAAAGCCCATTCATGAGCCTACCGGTGTTTCAAAAAAGAAAATAAAAGGAAATTGTCATATGATGATATCATGTAATAACACAACTTAACCAACTGGCTAAACATTTGTACGTTAACGAAGAAAAATCAACGTGTACAATATTTGAATTTATTTAAAAAAAAATACAAACAGAATACATGTGGTAAAAATACATATAATAAAGAGAATAAACATTTTAAAAAGGGGGTGGGGAGAAGTGAAAAATAACGAAAAGAGAGGATCTAGGAGATGATCTCAGCCAAAGTCACAGCAGCAAACACGAGAAACAGAACTCCCCCGACATAAGCTATTGCCTGTTTACCCAAACACACACCAAATAAAAAAAAAAAAAAGACATTTTTTTACTTTTACATGTAATAAATATATATTCAATGGTAAGCAATGAATGCATCATAAGACTGCCACTTCTTATGCTAAAGGGCGATTCGCCATGGAAATAGCATTAGAATCCTTACTTTGAACTTTGAAGAAGAAGATTAGGGAATTATTTTCAAAGGATTGGATTGGAGCAATTGGAGAGTTGCTTTGACTTTTGGTTTTGTCTTGTGGAGGAACATGATACTATGTGATGTGGATGACTTTACATCACTGGACAAGGCACGGAATAAATCTCAATCTATGTTCTCTCTCTCCCATTCCCAATCTTGATGACATTGTTTTTTTTTTGACTGAAATCCCCAAATATGAAAAGACCAAAATACCCACCAGAATAATTCACAGCACATGCTCGTCTGATTAGCATATACTAACTGCCTTTAGATTATTGATGTCGAATCATCTTTGATATTTATGTATGCGTATGAAACATGATGGACATTACCTTCTCTGACAAGAAATTTCCCAGCAATGACCCTCCCAAAACCGCAAGCTGCAATGAACAGATTCTGTAATTAGCTTTCTGCCTCGAGTGTGTGAACAGATTCAGTTTCCTGGATGATTTTCTCTTCTTCACCCACCCACGAGGTCCTTTTAGAATTGTCTGATGAAAGGGTTCTGATAGATAGCTTCCGGGTTAACGATAAGAATCATGAGATCAATGAGTTGTAAGATTTGCCCAATGCAAGGATTAAAAGTTAAAGGATCCAGTAGAACAATATGAGCATCTCGAATCTTATGGCTTAGGACGGCATACGGGTTATTTATTAGCCCGATTCGAAGATTTTGTTGGGTTTTCAGAAAGTTTCAACCTTTTATCGAAAACTCACCAAAGTCGCGACGCCATGACCGGCTAATGCTCCTGCAATGACGCCTAGAGGCGATGAAGCGGCCGCAAGAGCTGCAGAAGGAGGTTGGAGGAGGTCACACACATTGTGTAAAATCATCAGACAACCTTATACGATGGTCTGAATGCAATATGCCTAGTCATGATTCGAAATTTATCAAGAATCTGCATCCCCATCTCACCTATTGTAGAGAAGAACGATTTGTCACCCCATTCCGCGACGAAAACCAGAACAAATGTGCTGATGAAAGTGTTTGCAGCTGCTAATATCCCAGCCCCATTCCCTGAAAGCTCTGAAACCGCTAGTTCTGCCTGAGAAAGGAAACAACAGTTGGGAGTCTTGACAATATCCAAACGTATCGTATTGAGATCAATTCGCACGTGAAAGATGAAAACTTTACTTCTTTCTGTTCTTCATCTGCTTTCAGTCCATCATCCGAACTGGCATCGAGCAAAGTTGAAGCACCAAAGTACACCTAAGCATGCAAAATTTTTTATTAGAATCATCTGATGATTTGTCCAAATCGATAAAGATTGTGTGATTACCAGAAGACAAACGGCTGCAATATCATCTAGAGGCAAATCAGTCTCACCAAGCCTGTATTTTCATGCATAACACTATTAGTTTCTTCTGATGATTCATCTCTAGCCAGTGAAACCGAAAACTGGAATAAGGACTTTACTTGAACGGGAGAATTTCATCAACATAGTGAAAAGTGCGTCCAAGCGCGACAGATATAATTGTCATTGCCCTGAAAATTGCCAAATATAAGTACTTTTCTACATTTCATATCATGAATAACATCCGGAATAATAATAGCACATGAGTTATGACTTTGGTTTCAGACAAAGGAGCAAATTGACTTGGTGTCTATATAGGGAATTTTATCATATAAGCCTAAAATGCAAGAAATAACATATACATGATTGACAAAGATAGCATACGCAAGAGCACCAAAAGTTCCAGCAAAGACAGTGGCAGCAGAGTTCCTCGCAGCTAAAAGTGCCTGCATGAGGCATGAGACATTCCGTATCACCGACATTTTCAACTCTGATATCATCATCTAAACCCCGACCGAATAGGTCAAATGGTCTGACAAACATAACCAGTTTTAGAAGTTCTGCCTCATACATACCGCGATAAAGAATGTCTTATCTCCCAATTCAGAGAAAAATATCAGCAAAAATGCCTGCAGAGAGCCAAAAACCAACCAATGATAGGGAGTGAGACAACCACGACTAAGAATGGGAAGTGTTTTGGAGCAATCACATAATACCATCCTGAAAATGCATCAAATCATTTTGAGTTCATTCAATATCTTCCAAACTTTCAGTTTTGAAGAAAAATTTTCAGTTTTTGGTACAGAAAGCTAAAGGGAGAATTTTCTAACCGAAGCAAAACCTGTGCTAATATCTCCAAGGTCTCCCAGAGATGAGATAACTGACTGCAGTCCACCAGAAGTTTCTGAAACCGCAAACGCTGGTCCAGTGCCTTGAAAAGCAAGCAACCCAAATAAGGGCATAAACTTCAGAACTCTCTGAGCATCCCTTCTTAAGTCATGAGTTATCGAAGGTATAATCATAGATGGGCGGTTCCTCAGATCATTTTCGAATTCAGCTCCCTGCAAAGAAATCAAAGACAGCTATTATTCTGACCTTCTTCATATTCCATTTTTGACAACCATACATCCTACCATCTTTTAGTCACTACAGTTCACAAGACATTCCATAAATACAACTCCGACATCCACCTCTTGCTCTCACTCTCTCCCTCCCCCTCTCTCTCTTTCTCTCTCTCCAATGAGATATCTCAATCTCAATCCCAATCCCAATCGCCACGGCAGTTGCAACTTGCAAATACAAGGAGACAACCCAAAGAGATTAAAAGAATCATATTACAAAAAAAAAAAAAAGTGACCTCGAGGTAAAGAGCACGTTGCAGATCAACGGCATTTCGTCGGAATCGTAGAAACCCTAGCCGAATTTGGTCTCCACGCCATTGCCCCAAACATCTGTAGATGAAATCACGATCACAGAACATCAATCTCGAACAGAGTTCTGTTTACTAACGAAGACCAAACATCACAATAAACCGTAATAAGCAAAACCCTAAATTCCGCTCACTTAACAGAACCCCAACTAAGAACACGCATTACGCAAAATTCAGACTGATCAAAACTTGCCTCGAGAAGCCCCAACCGGGGAAACCGAATCGAAACGGACGAAAGGAGAAAACCCGTTCCGAATACGAAGAACACGAACCAAGAAGTGGAGAAGAATCGAGTTTGGGAGGTCTAGGGTTTCGAAATGGAAGATGCAGCGAATACGAAAGGGTTGAGTTTTGCATTTCTCTCCGAGTCTCCTCTCTCCTGCCACTGTGCAAAACCTCTGGTTCTGTTTGTTCCTGAGGAGATAGTGAAAGACCACGATTATAAATTTTTTTTTTTTATATTAACCAATCAATACCGTTAGCTATATATACACGTGCACGTATATACTCTCACGTGCGTGTATAACACCAACCGGCCCGAAATTATAAGGCCCAATATGAGCTTCATTCCTCGGACATTTAGGCCCAAGATTATCCCATTCCTAATAAGCCTTGTGTTATTTTATTTTATTCCAAGGCAAAAATATATATTTTATTTTTTTTTTGTTGAAAAAATTATTTGTCGTTATATTTCTTCTTTGACAATATAATCGAGTAAACCATTTCTTTGTTGCTTTTCCTTTAATTTAATTCCCCTTGCCAATAATCCGAGCTATTCGCTTAATTTATAGATATGATTAAATAAATTTGCTATAATGTATCCAATCTTGGGTGTTCTAATAGTCCCTGTATTTAAATCCAAACGTGGGAAAGAACATTCATCTGGGTTTTCTCGATCCTCTGAAAGATGTAGTCGGGCTAAAAGTTCGGTGAACTTCCGGATTATAAAAAAAAAAACTTCCTATAATGTATATTCGGGGAAAATGTACTGTTCAGCACACTTTATCATCACGTGGAGAAAGTTTTTGTTTTAGGGAAATCTGTAGTAGGTTATTCAAGATTTTTTTTTTTCGTTTTTGTTTTTAAGTAGACAAAATATATTCATAATAATAATTATTTAATATTAAAACTGATTTTTCGCAAATCATATTTTTTTATAAAAAAAATCTTATTTAATAAAGCCACCAACCGCTGTAGGATAGTTTAAGTCCACTATGAAAAATTAAAAGGTGCGAAAATCGAAAAAAGGGGGGTCGTTAGGTTACTGATCCGTAGAAAATGACCATCCTACAACTTAATATATACGAATTTACATATCTATAAGTCAATTAGTCAATAATTAAAAGTTATAGTAAGCGCATATTTTTTTCCCATAATAATTACGTGGTTTTCTTTAGATTTCATATTTTATTATTCCCACAAAAAATATTTAGGGCTTTGTCAATCAAATTAACCTTTCACATTTATTAGAGCAACACCTTTAATCCTTTCACCTTATTTTAATATTTTAATTTCAATCCACATTTATAATGTGAAAATATTATAATATCTTTATCATATGAAGATGTCAATCATACAATTTTTGGATTTTTTTTATCTTTGTAAAAACATTAAACCAAATTATCAAAGTTTGAACTAAAAATTACGAAATTTAAAGATCATATTAAAACGAGTACAAATTCAATACGTGAACTATATTTTTTCAAATAAAATTGTGATGGGGAAACAAAGGATGGAATGCATTTAGAAATATTTCAAAGCTTTGGTGGATTATAGGTGGGATTAGTTGTAAATTTAAATTATTTATCTTTTTTAGAGTAGATGGTCCTATGCTTCAACACTGAATACATTCAATAATGAGTTCCAATCATATTAAAATCTGCAATTTGTTAGCTTTATAGTCAGCATGCTCTAATGGTAAACATGGTTTTTTTTTATAGCCATGGCAAACATTATTTAAAATAAACCCCTGTTGGTACGCTCTTTTTGGGTTGGCTAAGACCAATTTGATAAATAAAGATTTATTAGTATAAAGTTTAATGAGATTAGTGCAGATTTATGGTTCACAAGTATGGAAAAACGGTCCATCGAATTAATATTTTTTAGATACATTATTCAAGTATGGGCATATGTAATATAATAGTAGTCAAAACATCTATATATATATATATATATATATATTAGTAACTGTATTTCTATATATTTTTTAAAAGTTCAAAATTCACAAGTTTGAGAAAATTCAAAGAATTAACATTTATAGACATTTTATATGAGTAGGGCCAATATAAAATAAGCATACCAAACGCACCGAATTTAGGCTGGTTTATTTGGAGAAAAAAATTCTGATTTTTCTCTTGTTTTGCGACCAAATTGTAAGTTCTTTGAATATAAGAAAATGATTATAATTTCATGTAAAACCCGACATGAAGATGAATCTTGATGATAAAGACGTACGGAAAATCAAACGATATCACTTTTTTTTTTAAAATTTATTTATATTTGTTTGTTTTCAAACGATATAATAATGTGGAAGGTGTGGGTGGGCACAGCGCAATAGTGGCACTTGACTTGAGAAGTCTACCGTCAACTTCCAAGTTTGAAACGTCGATCGGAGCTTCTGATTGGCTAAGAGTCTTAGCGCCACCTACTCCCATGAATCATAACAAAAAATCAAAGCCCTAAAATTAATCCAGATGGAAAGTATTATAAGCTGTGGAAAATTCAAATAAATATACCTTTTGATTATGATTTGTTTTGTTAGAAACTATTAGATATATTTATCCGGTTAAATAAATGTGAATATCTTGTGTGATTAATAATATACTCCGTTCGTTTCATTAAATTTTTTTATTGATTTAAAATAATGTAGAAAAAAATTGTTCCGAACTTTTTACTTCTTATTATTTTAATATTTCGATATGTTATTATTTGAACAGGAAAATGATAAATAACTATTATAATCAATGAAAGAAATCTCAAGCCACACAATAAATCTTTGAAGTTTTGTTATCTAATATATTCATTAATCGGTTATAAAAAATATATATAATCATTAATCACATGACCATTATAATAATTAATCACGAATCTTGTGAATAATCATTTAACCCAACATTCCGCATGAAAAAAAAAAATTGCTTGGTAATTCAGCCGCCTTCCTTGAAAAGTTTCGACCAAAATCATCATCATTCATCGCCACTCTTTTCACCACACGCCCAAAAAACAAGGGGGAGAAGAAACTTTACACCAACCCAAAATGGATAGAGGAAAAACAAAATAAATAAATAATCCAACCTTGAAATTTAATTTTAAATTAATCACGGCTTTCAATAATTGACATTTTTGGACCGTGTGGTACTAACCCTAAACCCCTATATAAACCCCCACTTCCTATTGGTTCAAAACACGACTCCAAATCAGGGTTTTTAAAATTATGGCACATCAAATGAAATTATTCCTCTTCTCGTTCCTCTTCCTCGTCCTGTCGCAAAACGTTTTATCCGTCAGGAAACAATTCAACCCGCCGCCAAAACCATGCAAAAGATTCGTCCTCTATTACCACGACATCATGTTCGGAGTGGACGATGTCCAAAACGCCACGTCAGCAGCCGTCACGAACCCCCCGGGTCTCGGGAACTTCAAGTTCGGGAAGCTCGTGATCTTCGACGACCCCATGACCATGGATCGCAACTACATGTCCGAACCAGTGGCACGCGCGCAGGGGTTCTATTTCTACGACATGAAGAACGATTACAACGCGTGGTTCGCATACACTCTGGTCTTCAATTCCACGCAGCACAAAGGCACGTTGAATATAATGGGGGCAGATTTGATGATGGAGAAGACACGTGACTTGTCCGTGGTCGGAGGAACAGGCGACTTCTTCATGACACGTGGCATTGCTACGTTCGAGACCGATGAGTTCCAAGGCGCCAAGTATTTCCGTGTCAAGATGGACATCAAGCTCTACGAATGCTATTAAGTAATGTGAAATGAAATAACGAAACGAGACCTTTATTGAACGTTGTATTTGCAATTCGGTCCAAAATTTTAAGATCCTTCAAGTTTTAAGTGTGCGAATTTAGTTTGATATTTATATCATCTGCATGAGGAAAAAAACATTGATGTTTTCAAAAAAATTGATGTTTTCAATTATAAACTTTGACGAGCGTAACAAGTAATAACCGAAATAATTATATGTAATGCGTATAAAGTTATTTATCGGACGACAATCCATCTAAATCGAATGAAATGAAATATAATTATAATCGAGAATGATTATTATATGTTTATAATTGAAAAATCGACCCTAATTAACTGAATATAAAAATAATTATAAATAAACTATAATTTTTTTTATAAAATAACTGTAATCGAACAACCGAATCTAATATAAAACCAAATGAATATAAAAATTTCTAAATGAGGAAAATCGAACCAAATCCAAACCGAGAACCGAAAGGCCTAACCCTAATTACTCAGAAAGTGACATGAAATTCAACATATAACATATGGTATAATACTATAATATAAAGCAGAATTTAATATGCTTAAGACCTTTCGTATATCAGTGCTTATTAAGGAGCTTTAAAACCAATTTAAGATTAGCAAACCGGTTAATGATCTCATACAACCGGTTAAAGATAAATTTCCTCATGTTCTTAAACCGGTTTACAAACCTAAAACCCGGTTCTTATATTTCACTCCGAGTCTTTCTCCGGCGACGAAGAAGGCTTCTCCGCCAAGTCCGGAGCTGCTCTGCCGCCGCTGTACTGCTGCACCACCAGAACTGAAGCCGCCGTTGGAGATTCCGGCGATATCAATAAGCTCCCGATCGGTCCTAATTCCGGGCACTCGATCTTTTCCCTCAGCGCTACCGCGATTTCTCCCTCCGGCATCCGACCCACCAAGAAGAGACTGCTCCTTCGCACTTCTTCCACTGCCGACGCGACATCCGTGGCGGCTTTTCCGACACGTTTCTCCTCGAACTTGATTGATTCTTCGACCGATGCTCTCTTCCTGATTTCAGACAATACCTCCTCGTCCGATCTAAAGTTCCTGGCCGCCGGATCGTCGTTTTTCACGTCGACCCTGACGATCTCCCCCGATTTTTCAGGCGAGACTATGAATCTGATCACCGTCAGGGCAATGCCAGGGTGTTCCGCCATGCGTAAGCCGTAGGCAAGTGCTTCGTGGTCGTCACGGCCGCCAAAGAACAGAACCACGACGGAGTAAGCTACATCTTTGGCCGAGACATGGGTCGAGCCGCCGAGCCCTCGGTCCACGAAGATCCCGACCGAGCAAGGTGCGTTCTGCAAAACCTTGCGGTTTACCCACCCGTAATCACTCCTGGTCGTCTCGAGCGACCCGTCGAGCCGTTGGTGCTTGTGGAATGGGAGAATTATAATCGCAGCTCGTTTTTTCGCAGCCGTCGTGCAGATATCTTCGTGGATATCAGACAACGAGGAGATCGCTGTCATCGGTCGGACTGTCACCCTGCTTAACTGCTGAAACGCCTGAAAAGCCACCACGACTTGGTCCGCATTCGATCCACCGACACTTTTCCGGTTCCAGAACGGCAACCCATTCTTCCGGACCTTATTAACCATCAGAATAGCCGAAGATCTCTCCGAGAATTCTCGTAAATGAAGCGCATACACGCACAGATCCTCACCCTTCTCGATACCTCTGGAAGCCTCAAGGAGATTGATCATCGACGGGATGTTTCTGGTGCCATGGAAACAGGAGAGGATTCTGAGCTGCGAGCTAGGGCTTTCGCGTTCGATCGTCCTGTGCTTATAGTCGTCTGGTTTCTTGGATCTTCTTGCCGGTTTGTACACGGCCACAACGATGGGGGTAGTGATGAAGGTTGTGAACAGAGCCATCAGAACCATAATGGCAAAAGTCTGATCATTCAGAACCTGAGAAACCAAAGGGATAGACAGTCAAGGAGAAGTGGATCTTTCGAATTTTTTGAGGGACGGACTGGAAAAAAAGTCTGTACCTTTCGATCTTTCCCGATGTTGAGGACGATGAGTTCGACCAACCCTTTAGTGTTCATGAGGAAGCCTAACGCCACGGCTTCTCTTGTCGGTACCTTGAGGGCGAGGGATACAGCAAGAGTGCCAACGATTTTCCCGAAACAGGCAGTGAATATGACCAAAACCAGTAGACCCCATGACTGAAGGCCCTGAATCGTGGCCACGTTCGTTTTCAGACCGCTCGCCACAAAATACAACGGCAAGAACAGGCCAGAGACGAGATCCTCCACTTTCTCGACGAGGGCACCTGCAAAAGGTCCTTCCTTTGGGATCAAAACTCCCACCACGAAAGCCCCGAACATGGCGTGGATTCCGACTGCATCGGTTACAAACCCGCAAGCAAGAACAATGGTCAGAGCCGCGCAGATATAAGTTTCGTTGATCGGCTCTCCCTCATGGCACCTACTTCCAATCCATCTGAAGACAGGAGGGATGATGAGAATGGCTAAGGTGACGAAGCCACACCCACCGAGGAAAACCCAGAGAGAGACCAGAGGAGAGGTGTTGGAACCCGAGAGGGCAATGGCAAGAGCCAGGAGAATCCATGCTGCTACGTCGTTGACCGCAGCCGCCGACATGGCCAGTCTCCCTATGTCGGTGGTCAGAAGCTTGAGCTCGGCTAAGATACGGGCTAAGACGGGAAATGCAGTGATGGACAGGGCCACGCCCATGAAGATGAGGAAGGCGGTTCCGTCCACGCCTTTGGAGATTGTCGCTTTAAGCACGAAAGAAGAACCGATACCCATAACAAACGGGAGAGAGATCCCAGCCGCCGCAATCGCGAGAGCCTTTTTCCCGGTCCGACGAAGGGATCCGGTATCGATCTCGAGACCAGCGAGGAAGAGAAAGAAAAGAATGCC